GGGGGGGGGGGGCAGCTCTCTCCGACGGGGGACCTTTAAATCTATAGCACATTTCGTCGCTCACATCACGAACTAACACAATCAAAGTAGATTGTGTTAGTTCGTGAAATCACAGTAGCGCGTCAAAACGAGCGCGTATTGGTTGTCAAGCAATTTTGTATTCTTTACCACACAAAAAGTCCTTAACGACAGCAGCGCGTATTTTGACACGCTTTTTTGATTTCACGAACTAACACAATTGAATTTAATTGTGTTAGTTCATGATGTGAGCGACGATTTTTAAGGCCTGCGCTTTACATTATTATTATCCCGGTCATTAGATTAGCAGTGGTGCCAGAAATTTGGTGACAAGGGGTCCGGAATAAAAAATTCCCTTGTTTTTACGGCATGTGTGGTCCAAATTATTCTTTTAGACCAGTGGTTCTCAACCTTTTTGCATTCGCGCACCCCACTGGATCCCCATGTCCAAATAGTACTCATTGTCCATATGCCAACAATAGATTAGGCGTACAGATATAAGATGATTCGCCACGAAAGCACAACATTAAACAGTGGCGAGTCCTAGAATTCGAAATAGCAACCACCTCAGCCCACCATGGTTGGGGCTGAGGTACAAAATTGTTTATGTCTATGCCACTTCTAGATGGCCGAAAAATGGCACTGTCAGACTCTTCTTCTAACTAGCAGGTGATTTTATTGGTAGATTAGTTTGTTTTTAAGTGTGTAAGTATGATTGATTTGCATGCCAAGTGAAATTAGTACCCTTATATTACTTCGTTTTACCGTACCGTAACTCTCGTTTAGGCCTAGCTCTATCGCCTAGCTGATACGCAGTGTGGCTCAGCAAAGTTTTGTATTTCTGAGAATGTGCAGATTGTGCTTATGTGGCTCATTAGCATAACAATACCAAACATAAGGCTAATTCAAGTTAGACGGCCTAAACCAGCCTGCTTCCTATTCTGGTAACAGTTATGAGTCCTTGGTTAGACGCGCACATAATCCTGGCCCTGTTCTGATTGGTCAGTTGTTAATTTTTATTGAAACTCCGGAAAAGTTTATTATTAACTAACCTGTATTGGATGAGATCATATCTTGGTGATGTAAATGCATCTGAGCTTGTCGTAGCAACACAAGAATCAATATATAACTTTACGTCTTCAGTGTAAGAAGTTACATGGGCTCCAAAGTAGATCGTTTGTCCAATATCGACAACAACTGGATAATCGTTGTTACCGTACGGAAGAGTGAAGTTCCCTTCCTGATACATGTCTAAAGCGAAAGAGAAGTTTCCATCGCTCTCAACTGCATCTCCAATTAGTGAGTCCTCTTGCGGATCGAAGTTTATTGATGACTTTCCCGAGTTCTTTAGGTTGCACTTAACTGGAATTACAAGTTCGTGTTCTCTGGAAGTGATATCACTTTCGCCTCTTCGCTTTAGAATCACAGAATTTGAGTACTCGACATAATTACCTGAAAACTTAGAGAAATAATATAGTGTTATAAATTGGATGTAAATTTTAGAAGCACTCGTGAAAATCCCCCAGCCGACGACACAAGTCGCGGGATGGAATAAAACACTCAACATGTAGGCCTATGTTCGTTATAATATTTATGTTAAAATAATAGCGTAGCAAATTGGGGTTTATTAAAATCATCTGAATTTTTTGGCAGTAGGCCTACCACCCTCCCAAAAAATAAAAAAAAATCCTGGATCTGCCCCTGATTACATGGTGCACACGCCAAACTGTCACATGTATTTTTTATGACATTTATTTGAAATATAGCTTAGTAAGTTTTGGGTAATTCAAGCCTACTGGATTTTTTTTTTGGCAGCATCACCCACACACCCCTAACAAAAAATCCTGCATCCACCGCTGTTAATTATAAGGATACAACCGCCTATAAACTGTAGAGGAATATCTACATTCATTTATGCATACCTGAACCTGTGTTCCACATCTGTCATACCTTGCTATAAACAAGAGCCACGACATGCCGTCTTTATTTACTTGTCCAATAGAAGTACAGCTGATATTAAGCAAATGAGGAGGAAAGTGACTTTGATCGATGATGGAGCTATCGCCTACTAATATAGTCATGTGTGCGTCGTCACACTGTACATCTAGAATTTATAAAATATTTTAAACGATACGGTATATCAATCAATTAATCAATCAATCATGGACATTAACACACTGTAAGAACAACGTTAAACTTTAAAAGCTCAACAAAATTTTATTCCGCTTTTAGTGAAGCGATTAAAATTTAAATACGTTTAGCTACAGGTTAATGTGGCTCTATATAAAACACCTAAACACTTGTATTACTTAAAAGGGTAAAAAAAAGCGGAGGAAAATTGCGTTTAACTTTGTGTTGTGTGAGTGAAAAACAGTTGGGTTGCACCGGGACGACAGAACCCACCAAAATTGTAACAAATCAATTGACATATTCTATGATATAATATTTTCAACCATTCATGTATAACGTAATTGAAAATCAGGGCCGGCGGAACGTTTTTCAAAGGGGGGGGGGGGGGGCCCACTTATAAGCAGGCGCGTAACAGGGGTCTTGGGTC